CCCAGAGAAACAGAACCAATGGCATGTGGACAGGGAGAGAGAGAGAGGGAGAGAGAGAGGTTGATTTTAAGGAAGCGGTTCACTGATTGTGGAGACCGGCAAGCCCACATCTGCAGGGTAGGCCTGGGGACTGGGGATCCAGGAAGAGCGGATGCTGCAGTTCCAGTCCCAAAGCCCTCTGCTGACAAATCCCTCCTCTCAGGAATGTTTTTCTCTTCCAAGGTGGGGAAGAGGTGGGAGGTGAAGGGTGAGGGTCAATCTTGGTCTTCAGGTCTTCAGCAGAGGGAGCAGGACCCGCCGGCCTGGTGAGGGAATCTGCTTTACTCAGCACTCATCCACTGGTTCAGAGGTTACTCTTATCAAAAACTACTTTCCCAGGGCTGGGTGCGGTGGCTCATGCCTGTAATCCCAGCACTTTGGGAGGCCAAGGCGGGCGGATCACGAGGTCAGGAGATCGAGACCATCCTGGCTAACATGGTGAAACCCCGTCTCTACTAAAAATACAAAAAATTAGCTGGGTGTGGCGGCATGCGCCTGTAGTCCCAGCTGCTGGGGAGGCTGAGGCAGGAGAATGGCGTGAACCTGGGAGGCGGAGCTTGCAGTGAGTCGAGATCGTGCCACTGCACTCCAGCTTGGGTGACAGAACGAGATTCCATCTCAAAAACAAACAAACAAACAAACAAAATACTTTCCCAGAAACATCTAGAATAATGGCTGATCAAATATCTGGGTACCATGATCCAGCCAAATTGATGCATAAAATTATCCTCCCACTTCCCCGCCCCTGGCCCCTTCAAGGCCCTCCGGGATTCTCTGAGGAGTCTGGTTCTCCATCTCCTCCTCTTTGCCCTCCCGCTTCCAAGCTGTGAGACCCTGAGGCTCTTCCCTGCCCTGTTCTACCCAAAGGCCCCTCAGGGGCTTGAATTCCTCCTTCTTGGACTTTTTCTCTTCCAGTCAGTGGATCCCATCACTTTGAGGGCTCCTGGAATGACGTTTTCCCCAAGAAGCCTCTCCTGTATAAAATTGGGGGTTGTTGGCTGTGCCCAGAGGATGGGGGTGGCTTCCCTGCCCTCTCCACACCCCATACCCCTGCCCCCTTCCGCCTGCATCACTGCTGGGCTGGACCGGGGGTGGGGGGTGGGAGGAATATAAGCCCTGGATTGGGAGCCTTTATCTTGCTTTAATTTCCTCTAGAGTTCAGCACTATGTGAGGTTATAGTAGTGGCCGACCTTGTTTACTCTTTCTCTCCTACCGGAATATAAGCTCCAGGGGGCAGGGACTTCATCCCCAGAGCCTAGCCCAGGACCTGCACACAGAGGCGCTCGAGATGTTTGTTGCTTGAATGAAAAACATTCACTGAACACCTGTGTTGTGCAACACACACTGTGCCAGGGCATGGACGAAAGCTCAGCTGCCCAGGTCATTGACTATTTCTGAGCATTTCCACTCTCACGTTGTACACCCCTCATTTCTCTCTTCCTAGAGGCGAGCCCCTTCCTACCTGAGCGCAGGAATCATCTTCCTTCCTCTCTCCTGGAGTCTGCCCTGATTTGGTGTCCCAAGACAGGGACTGGGTTCTCTCTGAGCCCTGGAGGAATGTGAACTGAGCCGATGAGGAGATGCCTCCTGTCTACTTGGAGGAAAGGGGCCAGGACACACAGAGGCGCAGGGGGCTGAACCCTGGGTTCCAGCCCCACGGACTCATCCGGAGTCACGCGGTTCCGGGACTTTGCAGAGGAAAGGGGTGCAGGATGTGCTTTGGGGATAGAATTTCACCTTTGCACCCGGCTCAGCACCTGTCCTGTCCCCCGGAGATTCCTTGAGGCCACCTGGATCGGAGAGGAGATGCTGTTGATCATTTCCTGTCCCCTGAGGCTGTGATCCCCGGTCGACCGGACCGGTAGCCCGGCAGCGCCCCCTGGTGGCCGGCGACGCTCAGGCAGCGCCGGGAATCGCCGCCCAGGCCAAGGACCAGAACCCAGGAGCAGGAGCAGGTGCAGGACCAGGGCCAGGGCCAGGGCCAGGGCCAGGGCCAGGGCGGGAGGGAGATTTATCCCAGTGTACACCTCTAACTTATCGCTCCTACACAAGGCAGGACTCCAGCTTCTTTCCCTTTTCTGTGTATTTCAAAAGTAATGTACATTGAGCATAAAAAATACACGTAAACAAAAAGACACCCCCAATCAAAGCTGTGATACTATGTCCTGGCAGGCCCAGCCAGGCCTGGGCCTCAATCCCAGACCTACCATCTACCAGCTGACTGAATCTGAACAAGTCGCTTAACTCTCTGAGCCACAGTTTCTGCATCTGCAGTCTGGGAATTGTGTGCTCTTCATTGCTGGGTTGTGTAAAGATGACCTGTGTACCCAGCACATAGGAGAGCTCTGACTGATGGGGGCAATTCTTATTAGACACAAAGGAGAATGTGTTAAATGCCCTTCAGTTTCTGCCCAGGTGTTCCCAGGGGGTGAGAGATGTTCCCAAAGATATAACTGCCTGCCTGATCGCCCAAGTAGAGACTTTCTGGCAGCCAGAGTTGGTCACAGGGCTAATTCTGGTCCATGGAATGTGACTGGAAATGATGTGTACAACTTCCGAGTCACGCCCTGCAAAGGAGGTTGTCTCCCCCTCCCTTCTGCTTTTCCATCCTCCTGCTGGCTGGGAAGTGGAAGATCGTGGATCAGCTGCCCTGGAGAAAGAAAAGGAAGCCACGTGTTGAGGATGGCAGAGTCTCCCTAACACCCCAGAACCACCAACATCTGAAGAAAGAAATATTCCTAAGCCAGCGTATCTCTGGATCTCTTTGTTACATCAACTTAGATATAATCATGGCATTTCAAGTGTACACCCAGGAGTCTTGGTATTCATTCTGAATAACAGCTGACAGAGCTTCTGCCTTTAGTGCCACTCATTACCTTTAGTGTCTCCCCCCACCCTAACCCACCCCACCATACACAAAAAAAGCCCCTACAAGGACTGGACCCATGGAACCCTAGGGATGGCTTAACTCCAGCCTGATCGTCCCCTCGCTGAGGTCGCACTGAGGCTGGTAGCCCCACCACCTGGATCATCCCTTCCCTGATGTCCCACTGAGACTTGTTGCTCCACCACCTCTCTCTGCTCCTCTCCCCGTTCTGTGGCTTCAGTGTGCCAGGGGCTGATTAAGGGTAGTCCAATGTGTCGGACAGTTAGTACCAGGGTTCTTCAGTGACTGAACAACTGCAGGTTGAACTGACAATGAACAAGACGCACACTGGGGCTCCTTTTCCCCAGTCAGGAGGGACAGAATAGCTCAAATCTATGTTTTGGGAGTCTGGAACCTCTATTCCTTCCTGGTACTCCCCAGTTTAGGACATTTTGATAAAAGCTGGTTTATAGAAGGCAAAGAGCAAGCCCCGGTCCCAGGTAGGGCCTCCTACCTCCCCTAGTGTCAGGCCTCTGAGCCCAAGCTAAGTCATCATATCCCCTGTGACCTGCACGTATACATCCAGATGCCCTAAAATAACTGAAGAATCACAAAAGAAGTGAACATGGCCTGTTCCTGACTTAACTGATGACATTACCTTGTGAAATTCCTTTTCCTGGCTCATCCTGGCTCAAAAGCTCACCCACTGAGCACCTTGTGACCCCCACCCCTGCCAGCCAGAGAACAACCCCCTTTGACTGTAATTTTCCACTACCTACCCAAATCTTATAAAACCGCCCCACCCCTATCTCCCTTGGCTGACTCTCCTTTCGGACTCAGCCCGCCTGCACCCAGGTGATTAAAAAGCTTTATTGCTCACACAAAGCCTGTTTGCTGGTCTCTTCACACGGACACAAGTGAAACCTAGTAATCTCAATCTTGAGACTCCCACACTAGGGTATACCTGTGGAAAGGCCAATTCCTGTATGGTGAAGTTGGCGGGTCTGATTTATCTTGAATGAAAGTCTAGTATTCATCTTTCTTTTTCTTTTCCTTTTTTTTTTTTTTTTTTTTTTTAAGACCAAGTCTGCCACAGCAGGCTGGAGTGGCAGGCATCTGTAGTCCCAGCTACTTGGGAGGCTGAGGCAGGAGGATCACTTGAACCTGGGAGGTGGAGCTCACAGTGCGGCAAGATTGTGCCACTGCACTCCAACAGATTTGTTTAGTTTTGTTTTGTTTTTGAGACAGAGTCTCACTCTGTCACCCAGGCTGTAGTGCAGTGGCTGTGATCTTGGCTCACTGCAACCTCTGTCTCCCCAGTTCAAGCGATTCTCCTGCCTCTGCCTCCGGAATAGCTAGGACTACAGTTGCACCACCACGCCCGAGTAATTTTTGTATTTTTAGTAGAGACGGGGGGGGAGGGGTCTCACTATGTTGCTTAGACGGGTCTTGAACTCCTGGCTTCAAGCAATCCTCCCACCTCCGCCTTCCAAAGTGCTGGACTTACAGGCGTGAGCCACCGCGCCCGAAGATCCTGGAGTTTTTAGCGGGATTCTAGCTCAGAGTTTTCTGTTTGACACCCTGCTTTTCAGAGTCTTTAATGTTTATATTTTAAAAATAATTTAGCATAACTTGGTAAAGCTCATTTTAAGAAAAATAACAAAAGGGAACAACTTTCCCCACCGTTGGGTTTCCAGTCTGTGACCCTGTGACCTGGGTCCCTCTGTGCTGCCTCCTCATGCCACTCTGCTCACCCCGTGTGCTGGGCAGCAAAGGAGTTCTCTGCTTTTTGTCTTGTTTTCCTGAGGACCTTTCCTGGCGTTTTGACAGGCCGCTGGGACCCACAGAAGCCTGGAACTAAGGGGACCCAAAATCATCTCCTGCAACAGCACCCGTTTCTATTGTAATAGCGCAAGACTCCGGCGCCCAAATCACCTAGAGAGCCGACTGGCCAGCCGGGGCCCAGCCACCCAGGCCGCCACTCTTCTTCGCTGATTCTTAAGAGTTGCAGGTGCAATGAGATCTGGTCCACTGCTTTTTAAATGCCCCGGGTGCATAAAAATTCGCCTTACTTAGAGCCTTGGGGACCAAGATTCATCCACGGTATAAAAGGATGCACATTTTGAAACCACAGAAGTAGAAAATGGAGAAACTGAACACAGCCAGCGTTATACCAGCGTCCAACAGCAACTTCCTATATATTAGATTTCCAAGGAATAGTGGGGCGGAGGTGCTTGGCCACGACAGGAAAAGGTAGGGCTCAGGGGTATTGTGACATGCTCCGGAGACATTTTCCCTCCCAACCGAGGCCCGAGTCCAGAGGGGCGAGGGAGCCGGACCGGACATGGAGCAGCGGCCTGGGGCCCAGCGCTGCAGGGCCCCCCAGGAGAGGAAGGCGGAGGCGCAGCCACAGGCTCCGGCCCAGTCTGTCGAGGGCCACGGCCAGGTGCTACTGATCAGCGAGCTCTGGAAGCAGGATGAGGACGGCCCGAGCCTGCAGAGCTTTCCGGTGGACGCTGAGGCCGAGCAGCTCCCGGGGCCCTCGTCCGCCGCAGCCAGGAGCGGCCACACCAGCGCCAGCAACTGCACCGCGCGGCGGCCCAAGCGCTCGGGCGACAGCTCAATGAACCGCGACGACTGCCCGGCCACGAAGTCCAAGCGCTTCAACAAGAAGCCGCGGTGCTCCGGGCCCAAGGCCGAGGACCCGCGCGAGGCGCCTGGGGCCCCTCCTGGGACCCCCGACTCCGCGGCGGAGGACACAGCGTCTGGGCGCCGGGCGCCGCAGCACCCGCACGAGCCGGGCGCGCAGCTGCTCCTGGTGCTGTGCCGCGCGCCGGCGCTCCTCACGCAGCTGCCTCGGCTGCAGCTGCTCCTGCAACAGCTGCGCGCCCGGGACCGACGCCCGCCCGCCGCGCTGGTGGGGATTGTGGTGCAGCCGCGGCAGGAGGAGGCGGCCGAGGGGCGCCGCCGCATGGAGGCCCTGCTCAGCCAAGTCCTCGCGCCGCACAGCCCCGCCGTCGAGGTGCACACGGCCGTGTTCTGCCCCGGCCGCCCCGAGGGCACCCTGGACATCCAGCGCGCCGGCAGCCAAGCGCACAGGGTCTCCCTGGTGGATCGGGAGACGCAGACCGATGGTGAGGGGTCGGCGCGGGAAGGGGGGAGCCCCGGGGCGGAGAACGCTCAAACAGGCAGCCCTGGACCCCGACGCTGCCGCCCCGCGGGGTACACGACAAAGCCCCGGAATCACGGCCTCTCTCCTGGCGCCTCTAGGAGATTTGGGTACTGTTTTGGGTGGGGAGGAACTAGAGTTCCTCCCAGTGAGCTCACTGGGGCAATCTCAGCGTCAGACGTGTTCGAATTCGGAGGGTTACGACCCCCAGTCACTGGCCCCACCTACAACTTGGGGCATTGGTTCCCATGACTTGGGGTCACGCTTTTGTAAGGCATTGATGTGGGATTTTGGAGAAACCGGGCCCCCACTCCCTCCTCTCCACATCCTCCTCTCCCTTGCTTGCTTCTTAATCTTCTCCAGGGAAGAATAATAACACTAAAAGCTTGCCTCTTGTGAGTCAGGCGCTGTTCTAAGGACTTTTCACCTGGATCCTCATCGCAGCCCTCTCAGGTGGAACTCCACTAGACTAGCTGGTTGACTTCAGGATTCTCCTTCGCAACCCTTGAGACCCTTCGTGTTACTGAGCCCAGGCCTGTGGCCCATGGAATTAATTTGCCAGTCTAAGGTCCCTGGGCAGTGAGCTCTTGAGGGAGCTCCAAGTCCCGTACCTACCTGCCAGCTCCACCCTGCCAGGGGCAGCAGGAGGGACTGAGGAAGTGCTCTGTGTGGCGAGTCCAAAGCTCAGGTACCCAAGGTTTGCCACCCTCCAGCTGGTGACCAGAGCAGGCATGCTGTCTATGGACCAGTGTCCCTCCTGTGTGAGGTGAAGGTGAAGGGCCGGTTGATGTCCAGGGTGCCATCCAGCTCAGAGAAGTCAGCTTCAGGACAAACGGTGACACACTTATTCTGGGTGCCCAGGACACCAGAACCATCAGAGACCTTCTGGGAGGAAATTTTCACCCCCTCAAGACCTTATTCTGACTATCTAATTTCCAATCCCCTTCCCTTACCTAGTCTGCATTTTCGCATGACTGGCACGCCTGGTTAGGAAACTCCCTTGCCCGTGGACTAGTCCAACGGTGATTCGCAGCTGAGGCCAGAGAAGTCCCAGTCCATTTTTGAAAGCAACCCCCTGGTGATGAAGCCTTGGAGGTGCCTGATCCCCCACCACCCATGCCCACCTGCCCCCATCACAGCCTCCTGCTGTCACAGCTTCCTGCTTTCTCTGTCCTCCTACCTTCAACTTCATTCAGTTCCCACAGCTTGCACTGAGCCCCTACTCTAGACTGTGGCCTTCTGAGGTTTCCACCATCTGGGGTTGGGGAATGAGAGGGAAGACAAAGACAGAAGTAATTCTAATGCCATTCAGAATATGACCAGTCTCATACAAAGAGGTGCCCTGGAGCTCAGCAGCGAGGGAAGGATGGCTTCCAGTTGGAGATCTCAAGATAGATTTTTTTTTTTTTTTAGATGGAGTCTCGTTCTGTTGCCCAGACTGGAGGGCAGTGGCGCCATCTCCACTCACTGCAACCTCCACCTCCTGGGTTCGAGCAATCCTCCTGCCTTAGCCTCCTGAGTAGCTGAGACCACAGGCATGTGCCACCATGCCCAGCTAATGCTTTTGTATTTTTAGTAGAGACAGGATTTCTCCATGTTGGCCAGGCCAGTCTCAAATTCCTGACCTCAGGTGATCTTGTCTCAGCCTCTCAAAGTGCTGAGATTACAGGCATGAGCCACCATGCCCAGCTTAGAAAGGCTTTATGAAGAGATGGATCCACTTGAGATAGGGCTTGACCAGAAAATGTTTTGGTAGATGTGCAGAGAGGAATGATAGAGGAGAAGGGCTTCTGAAAATGCAGGAATGTTCAGCCTGTTCATGAGACCACTGTAGTTCACAGTTGGCTAGAGCTGGACCCAGGTAGTAGTGGTGGCTGATAAGCACTGGGCAGTGGGCTGTGACTGTATTATGGAAGAGCCAGGTTTCCTGACTAGGAACAGGTGCTCAAGCAGAAGGCAGTGGGGCCAGGCGCAGTGGCTCATGTCTGTAATCCCAACACAGGGAGGCCAAGGCAGGCAGATCACTTGAAGTCAGGAGTTTGAGACCAGCCTGGCCAACAGAGCAAAACCCTGTCTCTACTAAAATGATAAAAATTAGCCAGGCATGGTGGCGCATGTCTGTAGTCTACTCAGGAGGCTGGAACATGCCTGTAAGCTACTCGGGAGGCTGAGGCAGGAGAATCAGTTGAACCCAGGATGTGGAGGTTGCAGTGAGCCAAAACTGGGCCACTGCACTCCTGGAGACAGAGTGAGACTCTGTCTGAAAACAAAAACAGAAAAGAAAAAAAAAAGAAGAAGGGAGCAGGTGCAGGGAAGACGTTCTAGCAAAGAGCTATTGAGGCGCCATTCTTCCTCATTCTTCTGGGACAACCTCTTTCCACAGGTGCCCTCTCTCTGCTTCTTGGGACCACTCTTACTAAAGAATTCACACATATTTTTGCTGCTGCCACAGGGAAATTCCCTACTCCTCCCTAGGCCTGCCCTCTGTGCTTCCTCCATCTTTCTACTGGAAGACAGAGACCCATTCTCTGTGCCCTGTTTGGCTTCTTCTGGTAAAATGGAATATTTCTTTCATTGCTACCAGGAAGTTCCACCTATATGTGTCTGCTCCTATCTGATTCATTTACACCAACGTGGCACAACCGGTGGCAATTTTGACACACACACCCCCACCCCATCTCTACAGGACATTTAGCAGTATCTGGAGATATTTTGGGTTGTCCCGGGGTAGGGGGGAGTAAAGACTGGATAAAGACCAGGGATCTGATAAACTTCCTACAATACACAGGATGATCCCCCACAACAAAGAATTACTCAGCCCAAAAATGTCAACAAGGCTGAGGTTGAAAAACACTGTTTTAAACCAGGTTGAGGTTTGACTTCATGTGGCCCGAAGCCCTTTTTACCTGCCTGGGTCTGCTCTAAACCTTCCCTGGGGCAGGAGCTCCTGCACTTGCCGGTCCCACACTCACCCACCTGAGATGCACTCGCGATGGAAGTGTCTCCTGAGGTGAACACATTTTATGTTGCAGTCACAGTGTAACCTTTAGACTGTCTTTTAAAAATACTTTTCCTTCTTCCATCCTAAAATTAAAAAATCACATTTAATGAACGCATTAATTAATTTAGAGAAAGATTCAGTCACCTGCTTAACCCAACCAGTTGGGGTTTGGGGGATGGTCTGTGGTTGCCATCGTCGTGAGTTTGAGACAAATGTTAGTTTTCTGAACAGCTGTTATGTTCTTAAGGAAAATTATTTGCCAAATGCAAAGGTTCTTATAAAAGTCAGATCAACCCCCAAACTCCCCTCCCACAGTGGGGGAGGGCAGGCTTTGCGGGAAGGGGGAAGCTACTCTGAGATGGTAGCAGGCTCTGGGCCATGGGAGGTAAAGCCTTCGAGGAAGCTCCACATCTTCAGGAAGTTGACGTGAAGATGAATGCGTGGGGAGCATGGATTTTTGAGGTCTAGGAGTAGGGGGTATGTGGAAGCCAGTGACAGAGCTGAGCGTCACATCCAGGGTATCTTAGAGCAAAACAGGTGGCTCACATGGACCCAGGAACACGCCAGCAGAGAGGTGACTGAAGGCGGCGCTCCGGTCACAGAAGCATGAGGATCTGGCTGTCATGGGCCCCGTGGCCAGGCATCACCAGGTCTGTGAGGACCAGGGCAGCTGCTGCCCCCTGCCTAGCCTGGCAGCCTGGGCTAAGGGAGAACGCTAGGCTGGTGTCTGTGGAGAACACTGTCCCTGCAGCCCTGCCATAGGAGCCACCCTGGCTTTTATGACCTCACAGGAGGTGTGGGTCCAGTTGGAGGCCAGAGCCAGGCCTCTAGGGCAGAGGGCGAACGGCCCCTCCAGGAGGGAGCCAGGAGATTACGCAGCTCCATGTAGGTCCACGCTTAGGTTGGGAGGATCCACTATGAAGAAGGTCAAGAAGAAAAGGTCAGAGGCCAAACGCCACCGAGACTCCACCTCCCAGCATGCTAGCTCCAATTCCACCTCTCAGCAGCCTAGTCCTGAATCCACACCACAGGAGCCTAGTCCTGAATCCACACCACAGCGGCCTAGCCCTGAATCCACGCCACAGCAGTCCAGCCTTGAAACCACCTCCCAGCAGCCGGCATCCCAAGCCCTTCCAGCACCCGAAATCCGCCGCTCCTCTCGCTGTCTGTTATCTCCAGATGCTAACATGAAGGCAGCCCCTCAATCCAGGAAAGCAGGTGGGCTGTCTTCTAGCTTCAGCATTTCCAGCCTTCCTGCTGATGGAGTTCCGGGTCATCCCAGAGGCTGGTTCTTGTAGGATAGTGATGCATGGTTAAAGTGTATCCTGGAGCTGTGTTGTAGAGTGTGAAGGTTTTTGTTTTTGTTTCTACCCAAGAGACCAGGATTCCTGGGTTTTGTTATTTCTCATCATCCTGAGTCTCATTGAAGACAGCCACACATACATATAAACATTTAACTTGGTTCTATAGTAATACTTGCTCACTAGGAATCAGCAGTGCCATGCAACTGCTAAAAAATAAAAACCAAGGATGCATTAATAGAAGCATATGGTTTAGAATAAGGGGGGTGATGATACTGCTTTATTCTGTCCTCATCAAGCTATCATTTTGGGCTGTAAAAGATGCCTGACAAACTAGTCCAAGGAAGATAGTCCAGGTTGATGGAGGATGAGAGGGATCAGGGAGGCCATTTAGTGTATGACAGCCGATTGAAGGAATTGGAGGATGTCTGTCTGTCAGGTGGAAGATGTGAATAGACTTGTTCTTTATTGTCCTGAGAAGTCTAAGGGCCTGATATGGTTTGGCTGTGTCCCCACCCAGATCTCATCTTGAATTCTCAGTGTTGTGGGAAGGACCCAGTGGGAAGTAATTGAATCATGGGGGCAGGTCTTTTCCGTGGTGTTCTCATGATACTGAATAAGTCTCATGAGATCTAATGGTTTTTAAAAAGGGAGTTTCGGCCGGGCGCGTTGGCTCAAGCCTGTAATCCCAGCACTTTGGAAGGCCGAATCGGGCGGATCATGAGGTCAGGGGATCGAGACCATCCTTGCTAACACAGTGAAACCCCGTCTCTACTAAAAAAATACAAAAAACTAGCCGGGCGAGGTGGCGGGTGCCTGTAGTCCCAGCTACTCGGGAGGCTGAGGCAGGAGTATGGCATAAACCCAGGAGGCGGAGCTTACAGTGAGTCGAGATCCGGCCATTGTACTCCAGCCTGGGTGACAGAGCAAAACTCTGTCTCAAAAAAAAAAAAACAAAAAAAAAACAAAAAAACAAACAAACAAAAAAACCAAAAAGGGAGTTTCCCTGCACAAACTCTCTTCTCTTGTCTGCCGCCACGTGAGATGTGCCTTTTACCTTCCACCATGATTATGAGGCCTCCCCAGTCACGTGGAACTGTAAGTCCAACAAACCTCTTTCCTTCGTAAATCGCCCAGTCTCAGATATGTCTTTATCAGCAGTGCGAAAACAGACACATACAGGCCCAGGGATAGGATAGCCAGACAAAATACAAAACTCTTAGTTAAATTTTAATTTTAGTAAACAACAAATAATATTTTTAGTATGTGTGTCCCAAATATTGCATGGGCATCCTATATTTTTATTTGCTAAATTAACAACCTTACCCATGGAAGACATTAGCGACAGACAGACTTTGGCTCAACATAAAAAACTTCCCAACAATTAGCTCTGTCTGAAAATGGAACGGCTGTCAGGAAAAGTGGTTCCCCATCTTCTTGGGAGCCAAACAGTGTCTGAATAAGCACTGGATTGTGTAGAGGGAATTCAAGTGGAGTTCAGGAGGTGGGCTGGTTTATACTGCTAACAATAATGGTGATAGCAAACTAACATCACTAAGCATTTACTGTGTACCTAGCATTCAGCTCAGGTGTCTTAATTTTCACATGTGACAATCCTATAAAAGTTCTATATCATCTCCATTTTATAGATGGGGAAACTGAGGCTCATAGGAGACAAACAAGTTGCTCCTGAGCAGAAGCTGGTAGCCCTGAGAAGGGAAACCTGCTCTATTCTGACTCCAGAACCCTCACTCTAAACCACAGCACTGACCTTTCCATTCCAAGAGGCCTAGGAGTCTCCACAAGAGGAAGAATATCTTTGTCCGAGCAGCTCCTGGATCTGCCGTGAGCCAGTGCCCATGGCTCCACAGCCTTGAACAGGGCACACTCCCTGGGCCACAGTTTACCCCCCGGGATTGTGTGAGCATAAAAGAAAGAAGAGATGGAGATGAGAGTGCTAAATGCAAGGCATGCCATGCCAATGATCCTTCCATGGCCAGGAATCAATCCCTTCTTGACAAATGATAATGATTTTGAGCGCCATACTATATGGTGTAAAGACTGTGATCATCAGCCACTGAGAGAAACATTTCCGGGTTATGGTCTTCAGAACTAGTAGAAAGCAAAACTTTCCATTCCCAAGTCTTTTAATGATCACATGTGACTCACACTCTGAGAGGAATTTGGCCCATTGAAGAGGCAAAGCAAGAAACGGTGGTGGCTCGCCAGCGGTTACAGTGGACACCCTATACTTCTCCCAAAGGAATTCTCTGCAGTAGAAAGGAATGTTGGAGATGCAGGATAAGGGCCTGCAAGTAAAGCATGCCATTTTCTAAAATCCAAGCCTTTTTGTGTGCAGAAATATTGTAGCTCAAGAAAATGCCAGTCTTCCACTAGGATGGGTATAATCAGAAGGATGGACAATAACAAGTGTTGGTGAGGATGTAGAGAAGCTGGAATCCTCATACACTGTAGGCGGGAATGTAAAATGGTGCAGCTACTGTGGAAACAGTCTGGTGGTTCCTCAGAGGAACATGAAGTTACCTTATGACCCAGCAATTCCACTTCTTGGTGTATATCCAAGAGAATTCGAAGCATATTATTAAGCATATTAGAAGCACACCAAAACTTGTACACAAATGCTCAAAGCAGCAGCATTTGTAATAGCCAAAAAGCAGGAACAACCTAAATGTCCATCAGCTGATGAATGGGTAAACAAAACGTGGTATGAAATACCACAGTACAATGAATATGGTGAAATACTATTTGACAATTAAAAGAGATGACGCCCTCATACATGGGACAATATGGATGAACCTTATAGACATTTGGCTAAGTGAAAGAGTCCAGTCTCCCAAAAACCCACACATCGAATGATTCTATTTACATAAAATGTTCAAAATAAGCAAATGTATTACCAGGAACTGGGAGAATGGGGGGTAACTGCTCATGGAGATGGGGTTTCTTTTTGGGGAAATGAAGATGTTCTGAAATTAGTGGTGATGGCCACAAAACTTGGTGAATACACTAAAAACCACTGAGCGCTCTAAAAGGGTGAACTTTATTCCCTGGGAATGATGTCTCAATTTAAAAACTTTTCTGTAACTAAAAATAGAGACAAGTCTTGCCTTTAGAATCCCCTCTCCTTATTCCGGGAAAGTACGTGTCATGGGCAAGTCTAAGCAGAAAGTGTACGGAGTCTGCCAGGTTCACTCTCCGTTTCACGCAGCTTAGGGTCAGAAGAATCTGTAGCTCTGTCAAGAAGCCACAGGGCTACAGATAGGAAACAAGAGGGAATAATCCAGCCAGAAATTATCTTGCCTGACCACAGAGGGTATCATCTACATTCTGCTGGGATCCATACCAGAGGAGGACAGAAACAGAAGATAAGATCGGGACTGGAAACTGGAGCTGTGGTTGTCTTCCGGATGGATCAGTATGCTCTAGATCAATGGAACGTGGCAGCTCCAATTCCAGGAATCTCAGTGCAGCCTCTCCTGGGGTGGGCAGTCACCTGAAATTCCACTTTCACTGAATTAAACGTGAGAAAGCCTGAGTTGAGAAAGCCAACTTCTGCAATCTACTCCCCAGAAGGGCATATCCCTTAAATTATCTGAGCCTCAGTTTCTTTATTTGTAACAGTATCCCCTTTACAGGATTACTGTGAAATTAAATGAGATGGGCACGCTAAGTCCAAAGCATCCTGAAGGCGTAAGCCATGACACCATCAGCACCACCTCCATCATCATCATCATTGTTGCTACTCCCAGGTAGCACCAGTATAAAACAGCCATTTTCTCATGCAGTCAGTCTTCACTTCTGTTTGGTTAGAGAACATTTTGTGGGAGAACTGCCTTCCTTGGGTAGTTCATTCCCAAATCTTCAATGATGCCTTGGAAAAAATCCAGGGTTTGCCCTGGTAATCCTGCAGCTGCTGCTGTTTTGGGGGGCCTTCTCAGACTGTGTTCCAGGCTCCCCTGCCCCCACCTCCCAGGGCAGGTACCTCCCTCACCTCTCTCCTTCTGTCCCCACAGGGCCTCTGACTCACGCCGGCCCACATTCCTGCTCCTGTGCCACTTGCCCCTGCAGCTCTGCTTGCTGGCGTCGTCTGGGGCTGTGCCATAGCCGCATCTTCGATGTCCTTCTGCCTCGGGACTGGCAGATGGCGCCAGGGAGAGGACTCCCCAACCTGCTCACCTTCTACAGGTTCCAAGCATGAGGGGCTGGAACCTCAGGGCACACAGTTCCCAGGGCCAGGCTCTGCCCCCAGACCTTATTAGCAATCATGTATCATTCCTCTTGGGAATCCCAGGCCGAAGGAAAGCCTTTTCCTCTTTCCTTTGGCCACTTCCTGGACGTTGGCAGGCAGGGCCCATTCTGACCGGCCCCACCTCCTGGGGTACCCTCTCCACCTGTACAGAGAGGTGCCAGTTTTCTTCCTCACTGGGATTTGCCTCCTCAGTGGCTTCCTTTTTATTTTCTCCAGAGATGCCTTCCCCCTCCTCAGAACACTCTCCCTCTCAGCCCTTCATAGATTCCGAGTCGCTCAGGGCCTTTGTGTTTAAACGCTGTTTGGCCATGCACCTCCGTGGCCCCTCAGTGGCCTGTGTCACAGGCTGGGGCCTTAGGTTCTGGATCTGCCTATGAATGTCGCCTAGAATTTAATGATAAAAAACTACTTGTAACTCATATGCCTCCTCCACACAACAGCAAGACCTCAGCCCCCTTCAGAGTGTGCTGAGCTCTTTCTGGGGATCCCCATAGGCGACGTGTGCTCCCAGGCTGGTCTGTTGGTGGCAGCCCCCATGACATCACCCATAGTATCTGTCCTTCCTTCCTCTTCCCACAAAGCCACCAGGAGCAGTGTCATGGCTGCCACTGCCCTCATAGGAAGACCCTATCCCTGCCGGGAACAGACTGGAGATGTTCCTGTCTTTGGCGCTGCTAGGTTACATGCATGGGCCGGGAGAGGGGTTGCCATCTGCCCCACCTGAGGGCCTCACAGATCTCAATGATAGAGGCCCTTCCATTTGGTGACTTCATACCCCCACCCCAGGAGCTGAGCCCCCCCAGCCCCCATCCTCATCCTGTTCCACTTCCCATCCTCTTCCCTACCCAATCCCCTCTCCTTTCTGTAGCTGAAAAACTCCATCTCTCCTACATAGGAAGAGAAGCAAATAGATACTGGGGCATGTGGGGAAAACATGCTTGGAGCCAGAAATACTCCGCCACCCAGTAAGCCCCGTCAAGGAAAGGTCTGCCTGCCACCGTTAGCCACACCCCGCCCATACGCTTAGTACTTCCATCCATCCATGGCCAAATTGTGCCATGGGTTCTTATCGTTTTAAAACCAGCAAGTGTTATTGAGCGAAACTTACTATGCAGAAGACATGGGGTACTGTGAGGGAAACCAGAACAGGGAACTTTACCCCTAAAATTGTTGCAGTCTGCATGGAGAGCTAAGACCCGTGCATTTAGAAACCAAGACGCAAGATGCAAAGAGCCGTGTGTCCTCTGGGAGAGGCTCCAATAGGAACCTCTGAAAGGTTCCAACAGAAACAGGCTCCAACAGGAATCTCTGAAAGGTTCCTGTCAGCAGCATGTGAGCCGAGTCCAAAAGGATCTTGAAGCCATCTCTGGCTTAAGATGAAAAGCAGGAGCAATCTAGGTGCAGGAAAAGGCAAACACAAGGCTCAGAATCAGGAAAGAGAGCAGGGAGGGACAGGGACCATGTCTGGTCAGGACAAGACATACAGTTCTAATGCTGTTCCAATTTTAGTACCTGCATGCTTTTCTCAACAGAGTGTAATGTTGGCTTTTGGCTTTCAATCCACATTCACATTAAACAAGAATCCTTATTTTTGTAGGATTTTTATCAAAATGGGTATTGCATTTTTTGAATGCCCTCCTCACAATTATTGCTTTAATCATCTGTTTTCCTTGCCTTTGTGTGGGTGTAATATATTATTTCCCAAGGTTCCTTTTTCTCAATGGAGTCAAGTGATAGAACCTACCTCATAGGGTTGTTGTGAGGCTTGAAGAAGACACCGGGTGTGAAGTGTTTAGCACAAGGCCTGGCTCACAGCAGACTTGACCACCTTCCTAACCTGGTCCCCCTCTGAATGTTCAGGGCAGCTGGCATCCCAGGCCAGCTCACCCTCTGATCCTCAGGGGTCTTTCGGCAGGGACTTTTTAGAAGGGTGGGAAGAATTAAATGTTCTCTTAAAAGGAGTTTGGAGAGGGGGAAGATGGGTATTCCTGCAATCCTGAGAGGGCCACTTAATTTCCACTTTCTCCTGCTTGTGGAGAGGCACCGAAGCCCAGCTTCCCACTACCCTCACTTTTGCTTTGCTCTACAGAAAACCTTCAAGAAAACCCTCCAGTCATCGTAACACGTGTCCTCCAAGCCCTCGGAACTGTGGCTGTGGCTCTGGGGGCTCTAGGAGCTGCCTACTACATCACTGAATCCTTGTGAACAAGCCCCTAGGCCCACAGTCCGGCAGGTATGTGGAGCATTCTGTCCCTTCGAATGGAGGTGATCTTTTCAGGTGGAGCAAGCCCCGGCCTCTCAAGAGAAGCTTGACAGTGGAGTGACTCCTTCCTGGGCTCAGAGTCAGCCAGCATGGCCCTCTAGGGAAGACCTGATGTTCTCGATGCTAGACTCATTATTATAATCATCTGAACAGAGCCCCCACCTCCGCTGCCCTGGGATGGTTTCCCTGGTCATGGACCCTGGACGAGAGGAAATGGGAGGGATGGGGACAAAGTTTCCTACCCATCTCGGACCTTTTTCCCTGCCTTGAAAGCTTGCCTCCTACCCAATCCTACCGGTCTGTCACCCATAAAGCCCCCTTCTTCCATGAAACCTTCCTCCATCTTCCCAACTTCAATGATGTCTTCCATCTTCTCAATCCCTGTCCTCTCCACCTGTGCCTCCTGTGTTGTGGATGATGCTGTTGTTTGCCTGTGGCCTGTCTCCCAGCTGTCCTGCAAGATCCTTGAGGGCAAGGGGCATGGCTCACACAGCCATCTTCCCTCACCCCTGGAAGCAGAGCCTGAGACTGGGGTTGGATGGACAGGGTTTATTGAGGAGGTGCACTCAGGGAGTGAGGGAGGGAGGCAAGAGGAGGCAAGGGAAGGAGCTGAGAAGGAGGAGGCCAGACCTCAGCTTGACCCTGTGGGAGCCCTGGAACAAGAATTACAACACAGTTAGTCTCAGCAGAGGGGAGAGGCTTGCCCCCTGGTGCTCCTTCTTGTCAATGCTTGGCTCTAAGGGTTGGGTAGGGACTGCATGTCTTTGTGGAAAGAGCAGCTCCCTTTGGGCTGAGGGCACTTCCCTAGA